CAGTGCATAAATTGACTGACCATACTGACTGCAAAAGCAATATCAGGTCTTGTATGGGATAAGTAGATAAGCCTCCCCACCAATCTCTGATATTGCTGAACATTGACTGGGACAACACCATCCTTGACATCTCCTAACTTCTGATTTGGGTCAATAGGAGTGTCAGCTGGTTTGCATACACTCATCCCTGTTTCTTGAAGAAGATCCAACACATACTTCCTTTGAGACACAACAATTCCCTTTCTTGATCTAGCTATCTCCATGCCAAGAAAGTATTTCATCTCTCCCAGATCTTTAACCTCAAACTCAGTAGCCAGTTTCTTCTTCAGGTTTTGTGTTTCTTCATAAAAATCTCCTGTGATGATAATATCATCTACATAGACAATTAATATAGAAATCTCCCCCTTACTTGAGCATTTTATAAATAGAGTATGATGAACCTGCTTATATCCTTGTTTTTTAACAAACCAAGCCCTTGGAGATTGTTTTAGTCCATACAATGATTTCTCTAGCTTGCATACTCTTGAACCAAATCTGCTTTCAAATCCCAGAGGGGGATTCATGTAGACTTCTTCTTCAAGTTTCCCATTTAAAAAAGCATTCTTCACATCCAACTGTTGAAGAGGCCAATCTAAATTAGCTGCAAGAGATGGAAGAATTCTGATAGTATTTAACTTTGCAACTGGTGCAAAGGTCTCAGTATAGTCTATGCCATAGGTTTGTGTATAAACCTTTGGCAACTAATCTTGCCTTATATCTCTCAAGAGTACCATCTGCCTTGAACTTAGGAGTGGAAATCCATCTACATCCAACCGTGGGCTTGTTTCTAGGCAACTCTACAATCTTCCATGTCTGATTCTTTTCAAGAGCATCCATCTCTTCCCAAACAACTTTCTTCCACTCAGGTTTAGATAGAGCTTCCTGTATGTTTGATGGAATAGAAATAGAAGAGACACTAGAAGAAAATGTTGCAAATGTAGAGGTTAATCTGGAATAGGAAACATGGTTTGAAATAGGATATTTGACATGATCTTTTTTCTTTTCTTAGAGCTATAGGTAAATCAAGATCAGTTGAGTTATTACCTCTTTCATGTACTGACATTGGGTCAGATTCATCAACAGATGTAGGTTCAGAGACTCTTTCTCTTCTCTTTGATTTGGAACTCTTCTCTCATAAACCTTGCCAAAGAATTTACTAATCTGTTGTCCTTTTCCCAGTTTGTCAGTTGTATTTGTCTCATTATTTCCTGATTTTTGACTATTTTCTAATGCATCTAAATTTCTGATAGGATGCATATCTAGACTAATGTCAAGAAAATCAAGATTTTCATGAATATGTGACACATTATTAGCATCTTCAATCAAATTCTCCCCCTGAAGATGATAATCAAAGAAAGGTTGGGTTTCAACAAAAACAGTGTCCATTGAAATAAACATCCTTTTTGTTGAAGGGTCAAAGCATTTGTACCCCTTCTGCGTGGACAGAATGCCTAGAAAGACACACTTAGTTCCTCTAGGATCAAATTTACTTGCTGTTTTTTCTGGATTTTTAATAAACACAGTGCAACCAAAAATTTTTAAAGGAAGAGAGCTTATCAATCTAGTAGTAGGATAGCATTCTTGAAGAATACTAATTGGGGTTTTAAATCCTAAAACTTTTGATGGCATTCTGTTTATTAAATAGGTAGCATGTAAAACAGCATCTCCCCATAAATATTTTGGATCTTTCATTGAAAACATGATTGCACGTGTGACTTCAAGTAAATGTCTATTTTTCCTCTCAGCAATTCCATTCTGAGCAGGAGTATTGATGCAAGAACTTTGCTGAATTATTCCTTTTTCAGCAAAAAAATATTTAGGTTTGTAGAAAAGTATTCACGACCATTATCACTTCTTACCATTTTGATATTGGTATTGAATTGAGTTTGGACCATTGCATAAAACTGCTTAAATACATTTTCTATTTCTGATTTCTCCTTAATTAAGAATACCCAGGTTACCCTTGTATGATCATCAATAATTGTTACAAACCATCTCTTTCCTTTTAAAGTAGGGATTCTAGATGCTCCCCAAATATCACTATGCACAAGTGAAAAAGGACTAGTAGGTTTGTAACTATGGGGAAGATATGAACTTTTATGATGCTTTGCAAGTGAACACATATCACAATGAAACTGTGAAACATTTTTATTATGAAATAACTGAGGAAACAACCTTTTCAAGTAATGAAAACTAGGATGACCTAGTCTATAATGAATTAAATACAACTCATTATTACTGGGAAATGTAATGGTTTGCAGACAAGTATTTCTTTGACCTTGTTTATTTGAGTCAATCCCTTCATCAAAGATATAGAGTCCATCTTCTTCCCTAGCACTGCCAATCATCTTCCCCGATGCCAGATCCTGAAAAATGCAATAAGAAGGATAGAATTTAACTCAACATTTGAGATCTTTGGTTAATTTGCTGACAGAAGCAAGATTACAGGCTAGGTTAGGGACATGTAAGACTTTAGAGAGGTTAATAAATGAGGAAACTTTAACCTTTCCAGTTCCTGCAATGGCTGAAAGAGAGCCATCTGCAAGTTTTATTTTCTTATCCCCTACACAGGGTTTATATGAAGAATATAGGTTGGAAGTGGAGGTCATATGGTCTGTTGCACCTGAGTCAATGACCTAGGTGGTGTTTGGTTTACCAGAACAGAAAAATGAAGCAATTTTACCATTCTGAGCAAAAGAACAAGAAGGATTTTCTGATTTAGGGTTCTTTTGGGTATTTAGGAATTGTAGAATTTGCTCTATATGTTCCTTAGTGAAAGATGGCTGCTTGAAATCAACTTGGTGCTCTTGTTAAGTTTCAGGCATGGTAGTATGTAGAGCTTTCTCAACTTTCTTCTTTCCTGCTCCTGGTGTTTTTCCATGGATCTTCCAACAAGTTTCCCTTGTGTGCCACAGTTTCTTGCAGTGATCACACCATGGTTTTTTTCTTTCATCTCCCCTGACCACCAATGCTGAGGATTCTTCAATCCTGATTGCAGAGAATACTTCTCTGATTGAAGGCAAAGGCTTCTTTCCCAGAATCCTTCCCTTTACTTCATCAAAGCTTTGATTCACTCCTGCCAGGAACATATAAACTCTGTCATTTTCTTCCCTTTTTTTGTGTTTGCCCAAATTCTTTGCACTCTCCCATCCATCATCATAATACTGATCCAACTCTTGTCATAGAGACACCATTTCATTGTAGTAAGGGGTGACATCTCTATCTCCTTGTTTGGACCGCCAGAGGATGGTTTTTAACTCAAAGATTTGGGAAGAGTTTTCAAGGTCTGAGTAGGTTTCTTTTATGGAATCCCAGACCTCTTTTGCTGTCTTCATAAACATATGAGGTTTAGCAATTGAGGCCTCCATAGAACTGAGAAGCCAGGCTGTTACAAGGGAGTTTCTGACCTCCATGTACTGTAACCTTCCTCATCAGTTTTTTTTATATTTGATTTCTCCTGTTAGGTAGCCCAGTTTTCCCCTCCCATCAATTGCGAGCTTGACAGATTGAGACCATTCCAAATAGTTCTTTCCATTCAATCTATGGCTAGTGATTAGCATAGATGAATGAATAGAAGACTGGTAATTTGTCATAGGGCTAATTTGGGAGGTAGGGTTGCTAGTTTGTGATGAGTCAGAATCATTGGCCATCGTGTTGTTTAAACCGAGGCTCTGATACCATGAAAGTTTGAAAGAATTATCTGACTTTACATTTTTACATATCCTTTTTATTTTATCATTTTTATGTATATTCATCATCTTTTTATATTATCTTTTTATAATAGCTTATATTTTTTATCTTTATTTTCTTTCTTTTCCTTTTGGTGGTGATATCATGTATCGATTCATGTTAGCCGACCCCAATATCTTTTTGGACTAAGGCTTGAATGTTGTTGTTGTTGTATTCAAAACTGCCGACTTCAAACACTGCTCTAACCAGCGTGTTAACATATGGCGTTTTGGAACAAAAACGTTAATCCACTCCGCTGTTTACCAAATAACCCTGTTCAGCGATTGGATCAAAGTCAAAACTCCAACAGTATTTGAAACGCCAAAATTGGCTCATCCGCTATTATCCAAACAGAGCCAATGTTTAAAATAGGCGCTCTTTAAAATGCTATAGTAAATAATACTTTAGGTATTTACTTTGGTGGCTCAACATAAACCGATAGAACACTATGGCTCAGCGTAGGGATGGATTGGGACGGGTCGGCCCGACCTGGCACTGTGCAGGCCCTACCCGGCCCGCTACTTTTCTGTCCCGGTCCTGTCCCGGGACCAGACCCGATGGTTATAAGGGCGGGCTTCGGGCTCGTTTTTTTGGGCCCGACCCTGCTGGTCCCGGGCCCGATTGCACTATTTTTTAAATTTGTTGCCCAGTCCCGTCCTTAACCGACCTGACCTGGTACTGTTTAGGCCCTACCCGACCCGGTCCCGGTAAAAACCTGGTCCGGTACCTGGCCTGAATTTCTTAAGCCCGAGCCCGCCCAGGCCCGGCCCAGAGCCTGACCCGACCCGGTCCCGGTCCCGGTCCACCCCTAGTTCAGCGAGGTGTAGAACACTAGGCAAGCAATCAAGAAAAAGCTGTGTTGTTGTCATCTTTAAATATTAGTTTTTATTGATGAATAAATTGTAAGAATCTGTCAATGTAGCTATTGTTTCATGATGAAATTTCATTAAAATGGCATTACATGGACTCCCATCTTGTCTGTCTTTTATGAAAGGGGTTTATTGCTTTATCTTTTGTTTTATTGTTTCGTTTTGTTCAACCCCCTCCCCAGGTTATGGAATTTGGATGTAAACTCACTATATGTTCTTTTATGCATATACATGATTTTGCGGCTGCACACATACATTTCATCAGGGTGTAAGTCGTACACTCAGCTCTTTCATTTAATCTTTCTTTGAGGATATCATGCTTCTGTGTTCATTATTTTCTAATGTTAGCTATGTGTTTGACAGCCTATGTTCCATGACGGAACGAAAGAGTGGAATTGTTGCAAGAAAAGAAGTCATGATTTCAGCTTGTTTCTGGAAATTCCTGGGTACGGATTTTGCAATATTCTTCGTGTGTTGTTTTCCCTTATGCTGAGGAAGCCACCTTGTATAATCCCTTTCACCCGTGAGAAATTCTACCAGCACAACTTTGCAAGTTTAACCTGAATTCCTGTGTGGCTGTTACCTAAATTAGAACGAAAATTTCCGTATGACTGTTTCCCTCTGTCTACTTATAATTATTTTCAACTTTTCATCTAAACTCTTTTAGGTTGTTCTTTGACTTAACATTTGGTGACATATAGACGTGACTCTCTGTCGTCTTCCAAAAGTTCAACAAAGAATAACCTCTTACACTGGTGGACCCTAGCACATTGCTCATCACAGTTGTAACCAGGGCCATATTCACCCCCCTTACATGTCGGAACATTGAAGGATGTAGGAATTACTGCCGCAGAACTGCCAAGTTAATTATTATTTTATGGACTAACATTTTTATTTTACCCTACCAGTCTTAAAGTTGTTATGTTTGGAGAACTATTTTGCCACAAGAATGTTATTATAACAATTTTTAGAAAAATACTATTTGTACCCACCCTTATACCCACTAACCCACCACCTTTATACTCACCAATGTGAGAGGCTATTTTTTTCTATGAATCTCGTTCACAGACAAAACATGTCTTGTTTTTGCATAGACAAAACATGTCTTGTTTTGTCACCGGTCACAGACAAAAAAAGCCTCTCACATTGGTGGCTATAAGGGTGAGTATAAGGGTGCGTACAAATAGCAGGGCTGTAATTTTTAACTAGTGTTGCTAATTTATCTTTCAGTTTCCGAAATAAAAAGTCCAGAACAAGTGAAGGATGATATATTTAGTTAAACACAAGACCGCTATTTTCTCATCAGTTATTCTCACCCATTAACATTAAAGTTGGAGTTAATTACCTATATAGGAGTAAAAGGTTTCCAATTTTCCAAAATAGGAGTCTTTACGTGACCTATGTTTAGTAGGAGCCTTTTAAGACCAAGTTGACAAAATTAGCTTTCAGTTAAATAACCCAAGGCATTTAATAAAACCCTAAATTTTCAACCGCTAGTAGGTGCACTGCCTCCTCCCTTGCCGCCGCCGCCTGGTGCCACCCTCACTGGCGCTGCCTGCTGTCGCCTTCGCTGCCGCCTCCCTCGCCGGAATGGCCTGCCGCCGCATCCTCCGCCGGTGCCACACTGCCACCATCCTTGGCCGCCCACAGCGGTGTCACCATCCATTGCCGCCCAACCGGCGTCGCCATCCGCCGCTGCCGCCACTCTGGCCACCTCACTGCCTTCTATCAAAGCTGCTACTGGTGTCAATTCCGGTGCCACCTCTCCCTCACCGAGCACCGCCGTCGCTGTCTCAACTCCGGCGCCATAAATCTGCCATTAAGTTGGCAGATTTAGTCCTGAAATTAATTTTGAATCTGCTGTGAACAGGGATTTTCAAACCTGTCATAAGGTTGACAATTTTATCTTGAAAGATTAACACAAAATAGCCATAAAGTTGGCAAAAATATGAAGTCAAAAACAAAGTATTCATAAAGTCAACATTTTTATTAAAATAAGCACTTTAACAGAATTCAAAATTAGAAAAACGAAGCTGATGGCAAAAAATCTGAAAGACCTGTCTACACATTTCTTCCATAAACATGGCAAAATCTGAAGTCATCATCCAAAATTTTGGAAACTCAATAAATTTTTAAAAAAATCACAAGTCAGAAATTGGAAATACGAAATAAAAGTCCGAAAACTGGCAAAATTGATTTCAAAACTCAGAAAGTTAGAGAAAGAAGCAGAAGAGGGGGTAGAAGAGGAAGAAGAAGTAGGAGTAGGAGGAGGAGTAGAAACCTGAGTGGCGGTGACGCACAACAAAGTCGGCAGCGACCGTGGCATGAGAGAAGCCAATGGATCTGGTGCACAGGTTGAAATCGGCAGCAGTGACGATGGCTAGGGCTGAAGTCGACGGTGGTGTGGAGACAGTGAGGAGAAGGGGAGAAAGAGCACACAGGGGAGAAGGGGGAGATGCACAGGGGAGAAGGGGAGAGATGCGTATGGGAAAGGGGGTAATAATAGAATGGGAAATTACGTATGTTTTAAAATAGGAGTAAGATGGTCCTATTTGGGGAAAAACTATACATGCTCCTTCCTATTTAAGAATTTTCCCATTGTTTTACTCCTTTATGAGGCAATTACTATTAAAATTGGGACATTAATCTCCCTAGCAGCATGACCAGTATGATTTCATAAGTTCGTCTAATGCTCTTAAGATGTTGTGAACTGTGTGATGCAGAAATGTTTTTGGTGCCTTCAAATTGCGTAATCAGGATACTCTCATGATATGAGCAAACCATAAGAGAATATGGGCCATTGATATGTTAAGTGCCTAAATGATGATCTTATTAATTATTTAGTCTTGGGCGATCTTTTGGTTTAGTGCTCTCCTTATCATCTCAGATTATGAGAGGATGCAATCCTTTGCTGTCCAGGGAAATGCAATCTCAGATTATGAGATTATGAGATTATTGGCCTTTCTCCTGATTCAAACCTTCATAGGGCAAATAATGGTCTATTCAATTTGTTATCCTGTAGCTTAGAGTACACGCACAAATTGGCATATTTTCCCAAGTTAATCATTTCAAGGCCATTTTTTACCTGTTCTGTGCATAACTCTATTGCAGAACACATATATTCAACTACATATATGTATAGCTAAAGGAAGAAAATGTCCTTCCATTACCTCTTGCAAAATACTCTATTATACAATATACCTCCTATATTCCTAAATAAAATTTGCCTTGGCATTTGTATGTGTATCAAGAGAGTAGAGATGATATGGTCAATACTTAGGATGAAAAAGTATCTGCCACACATTCCTTTCCTTTTATAAGGCTAGAATTGGACAAATTACAGTGCTCGACCGTAACAAAGACCGTGATTACACAGATAACCACTCCTCCCTTTCTCCTAGGTGAAGCTTATTTAGGACACTAAAAAATTTAAAGGTTAAGTTTAGTAAAGATGTAGGAAATAGTTCATTTTAATACTCCCTCCATCCCATAAACTTGGCCAAAGTTGACTTGTATGTAGAATAATAAAGTAAAAATTGTGTGGTTGAAAATTGTGAAAAGGAGAGAAATAACTTTAGCCACATATTTGTTACATTAAGTGGAAATGACAATTTTTTTAGGACTGGTAAAAAGGGAAAATTGGCAAAGTTTTGTGGGACGGAGGGAGTAATTTTTTTGTTTCTTTTCTTATGAAGGTGTAAGACAGGGAAACACACAGCTGAAAAACCAGTTTTAACAAAGCCAGCTGCTGCTCCAAGCAGACAATTTCCTGCTTCAACTCAAATAGCAGATGGATCCCTCAATGAAAATTGTCCTAGGTGTCGCCAGGGTTTCTTCTGTTCAGATCATGGTACAATTTTATGTCTTCAGTTCTGTAGAGTGAATACTTAGGATTGTGCATTGTTCCTAACGTGCCTATGCAGTGGTCTTGAAGAGGTTCTATATTTTAATTGATTGAAAACCATTCTTCTATCATCAATTGGTTCACTGAATTCTGATGTCTCCCTTGTTATGGATGTTCTTAAAGGTTCTCAACCCGGACAGGTAAATCCAAAATCATCAAATACAGTATCCACCACCTCTAGTGGAAGTGATCATGATTTACATGAGTGTCATCCCCCACCAAAGAAGATAATTGATATAAACGAGCCTCAAATTTGTAAGAATAAGGGATGCGGTAAGACCTTCAGAGAGAAAGAAAATCATGACAATGCTTGCAGTTACCACCCTGGCCCAGCTGTATTCCATGATCGAATGAGAGGGGTGAGTCAGTTAGTGTTCTTTTCTTGTCCATCTTGTTCTCTGTGTCCTTAACTGCTTTTTATGGTTCCTAATACTGTGTTTGTGGCATTGTAGTGGAAATGCTGTGATATTCATGAAAAGGAATTTGACGACTTCATGAACATTCCACCTTGCACGAAGGGATGGCACAGTGCTGATCCAGTTACATGATTGGAACGAATGATATGAAAAATTTCCATTCCGTCAATTTTGATTCTGTATGGAATTTCTGATCTGTTGTAGAGAAGCTGTTGCTCAAATATTCTTTGGAGTCTTACAAATTGTGAAATGAATTTGGCGAAGTTCTTGGATTGTGGTATCATTTCATGCTTAAGATTGACACTAATCCTGTCATCCATGATCTGGTTTTGTTCATGCATTTTTTATTTCTACTTTTCACTATCATTTATGTGATACAAGGGAAGCAGCGCTTAAAATGTCCCAGGCGGGGTGATGAGAGGTGGCTTGCGCCTAGGGCCATGCTAATATTCTGATTAATATTCGCAAGTCATTTTCAAGCACTTAAGATTAGTGAATTAGTGATGAGAACATGGTGCTTCCGGTTTTCAAACTGCGAGTTGCACTGGGCCTGTTATTTTTCTACAGGCAGACAGTACCGGATTTAGCCTGGCTAAAGAAAGAATTCCCTAAATAGAAGTAAAAAAGTTTTGAAATTCCAAAACAGGAGTATCATGTTTTTTATTCCTTGAATAGGAGTAAATTTTTGCCAAGGTTGGCATTACTAAGCTTTAAAACATGACATTTTTTCAAAACTTGGCAGATTACTCTTATTCAGGAAATAAAAAACATGATACTCATATTTTGGAATTTTCGTTTTTTCCTCCTATTTAGAGCAATTTCTATTGGGTTAAGTGTCGAATTTCTTTCCTGACACCCGTACTCAGAGTTGGACTCGGGTTGTTCCGGGTTGGGTCTCAGGCTGAGTCTGACCTGGCTTTTTTTGGAGAATTGAGGCCCAGAACTGGCCCGAGTAGCTATCGGGTCAGATTTGGGTCGGGCTACCCGACTGGATAGCGGGTCGGGTCGGGCTGTGTACGGGTACTTTTTTTTTTTTGTTTACAAATTAATCCAAGAATTGTTGGATATAAAAAAGTTAAAGTATATTTATTTGAAATATGTAGTACAATTGAGAATTGAGAAAAATTTAAAACATGACATACATTTTCTAATAAATAATAATCAATCGAAATCTCCGCCATCTTCGGTTGTTTCCTCCATAAAGTGGTGGGTGGGGGTGATGCACACTTCTTGAGTTCTATGTTGGACCTTCAACCAATCGTGGAGGCAAACAAGCATCTCAAGAGAGTTTGCGCTCAATCTTGTTCTATAATTCGTTAGCACGTTGTCGGTCGCATTAAATTCTTGTTCCACGACAACTGTTGATAGCACTTGTTTAGCCATCTTTGATAAAATTGGGAACGTTCTTTCTTTTTCCTTCCACCATTTTAGAACGTCAAAGTCATCCCCTTCCTCATAATCAACAGGAAATGTTAGATACATAGAAAGCTCGTTAATCGAGCTTTGTTCATTAACGGGATTTGATTTACTGTTCTCATAAGATTGCCAAATGTAGATTTAAAAAATGATTTTCCTTTAGATGAAGAAGATGTTTGTGTCGGGGGAGGGGGTGCGTTACCATATTGTAGGGATGGACTAAACCGGGCCGGCCCGACCCGGAACCGGCCTGGCCCGGTACTGTTTGGGCCCGGCCCAGACCGGGACCGGTTGGCCGGTTCCGGGCTTTTAGCCCGTTTGGGCGGGCCGGGTGGGCCGGGCTCGGGCCCAACTTTTGGTGAACCGGCCCGGGCGGTTCGGGCCGGGCTCGGTTCAATTTTTTTTCAATTTTTTTGCTTTTCTAGGTTAGGGTTGGGTGTTTTGGGGGGTTTGGGGGGTGGGGGTGAAGGGGGGGGGGGTCGGGTGTTAATTAGAAACCAAAAAAAAAAATTGAACTTGACCCGAGCCCGGCCCGGCCCGGTTAGGCCCGGACCCAGTATCAACCCGGGCCGGTTCCGGGCCCAACATTTTGCAAAAAAAAAAACCCACCCGGGCCCGGCCCGGAACCGGACCGGCCCTGAACCGGAACCGGACCGGCTCGGGTCCATCCCTACCATATTGTGCATGAAACTCATTAAATAATTGATAGAATAAATTACTAATCTCTTGGTATTCTTGTTTAGAGTCTATGGGCTTATCCTCTTACATAGAAAATGAACAAAAAAAGAAGCATAATAGTAATCTAAACATTGCCCCAAAGGATCAAGTCTATAACGAGGATCAAGAATAAATGCAATACAATATATATTCGGAATATGTGAATAAATATTTTAAAAACTTTTCTTTCATGAAAGAACAAAAATAACTACGGTAAGAGGCATTGCAAAAGTCACAAAAAGCACCGGTGAGATTAACAACTTCAACAAAAAAATAGTTTGCGGTAGGTGTATAAAAATGACTAAAAGTTTGAGTTGCATTATTATAAAACACCAAAACATTGATAAAAAAAATTCATAGTGTCGATGTCAGCCGAGTTTATAATATAGTTAGCATATTGTTTTAAAAAGTAGGAAAATTATCTTTAAATCTAATACGTACAACAATTAAGTTATTAGTACTATTCCAACGAATAGACAAATCTTTAGCAAAAGCACAATATTTGACACATCTTTCCCTCAAATATTTACGTCATTGCTCCTTAAGTTGCTTATTAGCCCAAACAAGTCTAACCCCCCCCCCCCCCCCATAGCATCTCCCAACGCGGCTAGCCCGTCTTTTACACATAAATTTAGAATATGACATGCACAACACTGATAAAAAAAACTACCCATCGAAGTAGAAGAACCACATAATTCACCTAATCTAGGTATAACAATAGTATTATTACTAATATTATCAAAACCTATAGCAAACACCTTGTTGAGGGTAAGTCCCGTAGATCCGAAAGCCCAACACGAACTTTGGATATATCAGGAATGGCCCAGAATCAAAGCGTGTAAAAAATATAAGATCTGAACTAACTAAAACTCGAAAGCTCGCTTGTATTAATTAACCAATCTGATTACAAGGAATTTCCCGATCGGTAGGTCGGAAACTATGCTTTAATACAAGAAGTAAGGGCAAATGATGCTATTCTAGAGCTTGAGTATTGAAATGCTCACCCTTACAATGACTTGAAACCTTCTATTTATACTAATAGAGAGCATGGGCTGCCTCTTGCTGATTGGCCGTTGTTCCACTGACTTGGTCATCCATGCTTCCACTTGCTGATGTCATAGTCTGGCATTAATTGCACCTGGCCACTTGCTGATTGGCCGTTGCTCGAACGGGATGTCGGGCTGTACTGAAGATGCTGTAAAATTGGCCCAAGTATGATATATAGTCCGAACTCCGTTCGGTATGTCTTCTGACCGGGCCAACCTTTATTTGGGCCGAACTCCGTTCGGTATCTCTTCTTACTGGATCTATTCATCATAGAGTGATGGGCCCGTTGCTTGGGCCGGATATCCAGGGCCTTCCCGATCTGGGTATTGGGCCTCTAGGTCAATATCCCAACACAAGTCCCCCACTTCCGATGTCTCGAACGATAGTGAGTGCATTAGGAAGTATATCAATGTTATAATACCCCGAATGGTGATCGGGGTACAAAAGTAATCAGTTCCCCATGCTGTGTTTTGACGGCTGCCGCTTCATTTCCCCATTTTCATCATGATAACCGTCGTTTAGTCTTTTCATTAAACACGTGTTTAGCTTAAATGCTCCTTATGACGTGTCGCTTTCTGATTGGTTCTTGACACGGCGGTTTCAAGGCTATAAATTAGCCTTTAACTTCCCAATTCGTGGTTTCGATTCTGCAATTCCTTGGCCTTTGTTGTTTTCTCTGCAAATTTTCTCCCAGCTTCCTTTGCTCAGGTAATTTCTCAAATCCGGATTCCTCATCTTCACTTCTGGCTCGAACGAGATGAGCCCCAAACAGCATTCCTCTGATTCGGAGATGGCCTCCCATGGAGATGACCGTGACGCCGCTATTGTGGACGTCATTACAGTCCCGTTTGCCGGTGGTTCTACAGAAACGGTGACGAATGCCAGGTGATGGAGTATATGGGTCTGAGCCCCCGGACCCACATACTCGGAAGAACAGAAAGCACGAGGCACAGAGTGGCGCCCTCGTCGGCCAAGACGCCCCCGTCGGCCGAAAAGGGGCCAACTCAGATTATGGTCCTGAGCCCAAGGAACCCGGGTGCCCTCGTCGGCCGTGCCCTCGTCGGCCGTGCCCTCGTCGGCCACGACCTCGTCGGCCACGAAGACCTCCCAGAACCGGATTTTACACTTACTCATTTGTACAGCCCATTAGTGGCTCTCTATTCGGCCCAGTAGCGGTCCAGTTGTAAATGGGCCTCCCAAGCCCAAGCCTTGGGAGCCCAGCCCGTATTTTCTATATAAATACTCCCCTTGAGAGTAGTTATAGGGGTTACAAAATCATTCTATTGAAGCATATTATTGCACTTCTCTCTCTAGCTCTCGCTTCTCTCTAGATATACTCTATCATTTGGTGCTCTCGTTGAGAGCTAGAACAATCAAGTTAGCACCCTTCGTCGCTACCAAGCACAGCTAACCACTGATCATGGGGAGAACTAAGTCAAACCGCAACCTCGTCAGCAAAGCCATCCCTGAGGACCAAGAGCCCAGGGAGCACGATGAGGACGCCACGGCCGACCAGGTCGGCGGAGGGGACCTCTTCCAGGAGGCCTTCAACCTCACGACGGACCTCCGCAACCAACTCAACGGCGGAGCCCCTGATGCCCGCCTCGGCCTGGACAAGAAACGAGCTGAGAAGACGGACCACGCCCCAGCCCAGCCTATGGCCGCGGCCTCTCCGTCCGTGGATCCACAGGTCCAGGCCGCGCTGTCGGTCATCATCGCCAGCCTGGCTCAGAACCCCACCGTCCTCAGCGCACTCTTGCCAAGGACCGGGGGGAACGTCACTCAACCCCCTCAGCCCCAACCGTTGGCCGTCCAGATAGGCAACGATGAGGGGGTGGTGCCCCAGGACACGGCGTCGTCCCACTCCCACCCTGCTTCCCCTCTTCGGCCTGGGCACACCCCAACGCGTGGAAAAGCCTCTGCCTTCAATAGGCTAGGTGACACGCGCCGTCGTCCGGTTTCGGAGAGGATGGCGGGACGGATTGGTGATCCTCGTCCTGGCTCACCGAGGGAAAGCTTGGTGTGACACTTCAAAAATTTAATAAAAATAAAAATAATTTTTTTTATCAGATAAAATATTACGAAAATAACATTTTAATTATTAATTGAGTCAGACAAAAATTCAACAGTTGTAAAATTCTAAACAGATAAAATTTCAGAATTTATGACGTTTTAGTCAGATAAAAATATTTCAGTAATAAGAACA